CAATCGCCTCTGGTTACTACAGTGGACAGCTTATCATGTTATCATGTTACAGGGTGCATAAAAGGATTACCGGTAATACAAAACTCTCAACTAGTCAACCGAATCCAAACTTCTTCCAAACTTATTATTTCTGTTATTAGTTGTCATTCATGGATCATTCATTTGGCTGGCATATCAAGCAATGACATCCATCCATTCATCCATTTTCTGATCCGCTTGATCCTCACAAGGGTCGCGGGGTGTGCTGGGGCCTATCCCAGCTGCCTTCGGTCAGTAGGCGGGGGACACCCTGAACCGGTTGCCAGCCAATAGCAGGGCACACAGAGGCGAACAACGATCCACGCTCACACTCACACCTAGGGAGAATTTAGAGTGTTCAATCAGCCTGCCATGAATGTGGGAGGAAACCGGAATACCCGGAGAAAATCCACGCAGGCACGGGGAGAACGTGCAAACTCCACACAGGTATCGAACCCACGACCTCTGCACTGTGAGGTCGACGCACTAACAACTGGACCAACGGGCCGCCCTCAAGCAATGACACGGATATTTGAAATAAATGTTTTGTACATTCAAAAATATTGAGATTGTTTGAAAATATTTCCCAGGTTTCATCCAACTACACAAATCCTCAAAAATAAAGTTAAGTAGCGGTCGTTGAAATATCTGGCCAACAAGTTGACAAAAATATTATTTAATGGATTTGTTTTAATACCGTCTTGGCCCGTATTGGCCCGAATATAAGACGGTGTTTTTTGCATTGAAATAAGACTGAAAAAGTGGGGGTCGTCTTATATTTGGGGTCTCGACATTATACCAATTCACAACGCTAGGTGACGCCACATACCATTGGAGCGAATGCTGAATTTGACTCCCCAGGCCAAAGTGAACCCCTGCCACGAAGAATAAAAATAAAAATAGTGGTAGCACGAAGAAGAAAAATAAAAAATAGCGGTAAGAAGGAAAAGAGAAGAAAATAATAGAAGAGATAACAGAAAATGGAGAAACGTAGTGACAATCTGGAGAAAAGTGGGTCGAAGATTGGCCAGGTTAACCGGCAGCTGAGGAGAAGTTATGATGTAATTTACATTTCAAAAACCAAAAACCATTCATTTACGAATGTGATTGCACTTTAGTTTACATATTTAAATGTTCAGATATTAAGATTTGAATGAGGCAAAATAACATGCTTTTTCTCTCAAACATATTGTTATTATCATTTGTTTCAGATGTACTGTAATTATTTGCTGTATAAAAATTAATTTGGTGTTCAAAAAGTCTTTTTTCAAACTTGAGTCTTGAAAAAGAGGGGGTCGTCTTATAATCAAGGCCGTCTTATATTCGGGCCAATACGGTAGTTAGTAAAACGTTAGCACTTTGTGGTTTTGGCATAGTAAGCAGTGACATTTTTTTTTCAATATTATCATATACCTGTGAAAAATCAAACCTGCCAGATTCAATTGTTCCCAGAGAAAATGTGAAGCAACACCTACCTGTTCTGTTTTATAGCTAAGGACCATCTACCATGACCCCACATAACTGATGATATTCCAAACATCGCCTTGTTACAATTCAGGCGCCATTTGTCATGTATAATTGGCTAAAACCAAAATAAAATGTTTTTTGAGCTTGCATTGAACAAAATGGAGTTGGTCAAATTCCGGTAAATATCAACACTCATTTGAACCATACTCGGATGAGGATTGAAGACAAGTGAAGTACAACATGTTCACATCTCTCTATTTGGCAAGACTAATATGATTTCAGCGTTGTTAACTATGGGATATTGCAGCTTTTGAAGGATTTGTAGCATTTCTTGGCTCGTTAATATGGTTGCCCTTTTTGAAAAGTGGGACCAAATTTGAAAGAAATATTCGGGGGTGTGTTATTTGTTATTTGTTTTTTTTTTTAACATTAGGATAAAAACATATTAGTCACGTGATGAAATCTTACACAACTAGGCAAATACACTGCATACATGACCGGTCGCTCAGTGTGTGTTTACATTATTTTTTATTAAAAGCAATTAAACTACCAGCAGACTTGAGGCGAAAGACAGACTGTGCACCGTTCTGGACTGGTCGCCAGTCAGTCGCACTGAAAATATAGAGACAAACAACTATTCACATCACTGAGTGGGAACTGAATCCATGCTGTATGCGCCGGTCAGGCAAAGGCAGATGGTGTCTAGTTTGTCTGTTCATATTTTTGTTTGCTTTGGGCCAATAAAAAAGATTGAGCCCGACATGTCCCTTGTGTGGGTGTGCGTGTGTGCGTGTAACAAAGAGCTTGGTACTAACCTGTGCCAGGCCTTGCAGGCCACCGCCTTGTGCTCTGGACCTCGATTTCTTTTTCTTTTTTTTTTTTTTCTTTTTTTTTTTTGGCTATAACAATAGCTCACTGTGTGACTCCTTTTGTGTTGCAGCAGCATATGCATGGACTGATAAAGGCTTCACTCACACAAAAACTCAAACTCTACATTGTGCAGAAATGTGAGGGATGCTTTCAAAGGCTTTTGGCAAGCACTCAACCAACCACATCAAGTACACCTGGTACAATCAAATGAGATATAATACCAGAGCTGTAGCAAATGAATTATTATAATTTATGTGAATTTACTGTGTTTATGAAAACCATTACCACTCGGTTGACGGGGTGAGAGGGTCGGTGGGGCAGCCACAGCACATCTCCCCAATTGTGGAATTACGGGCATGAGGAAGGGGGCATCAAATTGGGAAAACTCCAATCCGCCATGCCCACACATGGTTTCAAATTAGGCTCTGAAACTAGAGTTCCAAAATACGGTTTTAAACTAGGCTTAGGGTTTCTAAATGGGGTTTCTAATATGGGTTAAGGTTTCAATGTATGGTTTGAAAATATGATTCTAATTTCAAAGTACGGTTTTCAACTAGGGTTAGCGTTTCAAAGTAAATGGGCTGCCGCAGTATGGAGTCACCGCCAACAAGAAGCACTTAACGGGCTGTCACTTGTATCGCTCAAAGCACTTCGCCTACTGATGACACAGCATCAGCAGCAAGGAGACTTCAACATGGTTCCAATGGACGTGGATTGAAACACCAACCTCTTGGATGGGAAGCGGCCACTCTACAACTGAGCCATGCTGACCCGAAAGTATGGCTAAAGTTTTAAAGTAGGCCTTTTAACTCAAGTTAGGATATCAAGATGGTTTTAATCCAGTAACATAAAACCAGTTTGATATCCTTACCTGAGTTAAAAGGCTTAAAAATTGATTGACTGATTGATCAAGAATTCGGCAGATTGACGCTACGGAGAGTCACATGCTAAAAGACAATCACGGCTGTCTGAAATTGTGGATGGCCTGTTACCAAAACAATTGCTATCTGGAATTTCCCTTGGATGAAAAAAAAAAAAAAAACACACATGGACCCATTTCCCTATCTTCCTCTCCTTACGCCCGTGAGCCTGTGAGTGATAAGGTCTTGGCCTTGCAGCTGCAGGTGCAAAGTCAAAGTTTTCTGTACTATGTCCCCTTTAATGGACGACCTATTTCACATGTTTATTGTTTTTATTTTGTTGCCACTTCTGTTTTTGCTTGTGTTTATTTATTTATTGCCATCAACATTTGATTCAATAGCTTTTGTCTTGACAGCCATGGATCATTGCCACGACCGTTATGATAACTAATAAATGTAACTTCATGTTTATCGTACAATTAAATAATAACGTGGGGATAAAGAAAACATGATTGCAACAATCACATTCATTCACACACACAAAAAAAAACAGTTCATATCATAATGCATACATTAAAAGTGCAGAAAAAGTGAGAATCCTGGAACAATCATGATGGCAGTTGACATACATTACTGTCATGTTTGAAACAGAGTAAAAAAAGCAGCATGATTTATTGTTAGACTCAAACTCATTCATGTTGTTTTTCAGTTTTCTTCCATTTATGTGGCCATTCTGAAGGTGAAAATACTGTATATGTATTTTTGTGGACCCAATGATTTGACTGATTAACTGTAATTCAACCATTCTAAGCCGTCTTTAGTAAGGCGCTGGTGTCCTAAGGCACAAAAAAACAAACAAAAAAAAAAAACAGGCTCGGTGGTCAGAAGGGCAGCCTAAATGTCTCTTTAGCATATGAATAGACCTCACCTTCTTTTTGTTTCTGCATGAGTTGCACTGCAAAGTCTTAACAGCAATTCACTCATGATTTTCCACAAGAAAATTCAATTTACCTGTTATACATAGTCGTCTGACTTGTGTGTGGTCAGCATGGGATCGGTTCCAACTCAGTGACGGTGTGAATATGGTGTGAAAGGCTGTTCGACTCTATATGTACCCTGCGACTGACTGGCGACCAGTTCGTGGTTTGTGCTTTTTTTCCCCACCGATTTCCTTTAGGATGTCAAGTCAAAAATGCTCTTTGCAAAGAGATGTTCTGTGCCTCCCAGCTAGTCCAAACATGGCGTTCGGATGAATGCTGAGATTGTGGAATATGAATAAAGCAGCGAAATCCACCCCTTTTTATCCATATCAGGTGGGCCTCCATTTTGCCTTGGACTACCATTTGCTGTCGACTGAAAATGAAATCACAGTGCCTAAGGGCTCAGGGAACAACTATCACCGCTCATCTGTTTTCTGGGTTTGGTCACGTGACATTCCAAGCCTTAGAGACTGCGATGTCATTTTCAGTCAAGCGTAAGTGAGGTAAAAACATGTGGATCATATTGCACAAACTCACTACTAATCGTATTAGCATGTTTAGAGTAGGGGGGTTCATGAAATATATTGCAAAGAAAATGTTTGGCTTTTTGTAATTTTTTGGGGCTTGTTTTTTCTAGAAAGAATGCTGAAAAGTTGTCGCAGAATATACTGAGTTGAGCTTTTAAAGGCGGCAGTGTACGGCTTTCTAGTTGTTACCTGGGCCAAAACTATACTGGGACAGTCAGTGTTGTCGTTTTTTAGCTTTAGCTTTTAGCTATTTTGTCTTTTTTAGTGCAGTTTTTTCCCCCACATAAAAGTTTGACTACGCTCCTGAAAAAAAAAAAAATGGAGCAAAATGACCATTTGGAAAAGACGTGTCATCTTTGCGTCATTTTTGTCCACAGAAAAGATTGGAAGTCAGTTTAATGTACAGAAATTCGGAGCTGGAACCCAAAAGATGGCGGCAGGCATGCTGTTTAATTTCATATGAGATTAGCCAGACTCGAGGTAGTTTCTCGACGAGCCCGGTGGTCCATGTGTCCAGAGATGGTGAAGATGTTCAAAATCCTGTCCACAACCCTTTGTCCGTGCCGGTTTCTCTTAAGCAGGATGACCACAAGAGAGTAAAATCCAACGCCCAAAACTGCAGCCCCTCCTCCGGTCAGCAACACCACACCAGATATGTACATGTCATTCAATGCTTGGCCAGGTTTGGGCATGTGGTTCAAAAGGGCCAGATGCAGTAGAACCCCTCCACAAATGAGCAGGGACACTCCAGCGATCAAAACCACCAGGAAATCCGATAATCCTCCACTTTTTAGCATGTCAATCTGCTGTCGGCTTCGAATGCAATTCATGTCCTGCACGGCTGAGCTGAGCAGCTGTTTGAGCAAAACCCCCAAAGCGAGCAGGCAAAGGGCTGTGCCCGCACCCAGCCGCCATTCGCTTGAAATGCTGGTGGTGGTGGAGAGGAGGCTGACACCTCCGAGTCCGCAGCCCACGATGAGCAACACAGCGATGGAATAGCACAGCAGAGACTTTCCGGGTTCTCGGAACCACCACAGCTCCACTTGTTCCTCCAGGATGCCGTGCTGAATCTGAATTGGGTCAGCGGGACTATGGAGGCCCATTTCAGGGCCTCTAGGTCCCCTCAGGGGGGGAATATCGTCCAATTCGGGCATCTTACCGCCACTCCCAGCCTGATGAATAAGGCCGCCACCACCACAGAGGAAAAAGAATCCACTTAAGAAGCCTTTCAAGTCATGTCACCTTCACTGACAGCTACCGCTGTTGGGAGCGCCAAGTGGAGGGATTCTAGCGGAGGTGACTTTGGATGTTAACCTGGAGGTTTCCCAGGTCACTTGAGAGGCTTTACCGTGGGAATTGGATTCAATGCCATGTATGTCTAAAAGCACTTGCCTGCCTATTAGTGTTTTATATCCACAACAGACCTTTAGAGTCAATTCGGGTCCCCTTCATCGAAGCTGGAGGAAGGATTGCATCCGCATTACGCTTTGTGCTTGCAGGAATAGAAATTTGCAACTGGCAGCAGACATCACCTGGAAGAAAAAACAGACTGCTTTGAAACATTTGAGCCTTCTAACCCTGTGTTCAAAGCATCAGAGGTATTCTGACAAAAAAAAAAAAAAAAAACGAGACCAAATGAGCTCATCGGTGTCAACTGTTGGAGTAACTCACAAACACTTCAATGTATCTGCATTGACTTCTAGAGGCCGGCATTTTGACTTTGCTTCACTCATGTCAAGTTTTGGTAGCAGGTGGACTTGAGAGAGAGAGAGTGTCATATAGTTTTATTCTACACATTTCTGATATAAAAAAAAAAATAATTACCCAATTAACATGGAATGCACACATGGTTACTTTCTATTCACATCCAAACATTTTGTTTTGGCTGTTTGAAAACATCATTTTTGGTCTCATTATCTTTATGCTAATGGGGGTTTGCTACAGAGACAGCTGCAACATCGGCTGAAAGCGTGAAAATGTACAATCTCTCACGCAAACACACACACACACACACACACACTCACACACACACACACACACACTCACACACACACACACACACACTCACACACACACACACACACACTCACACACACACACACACACACTCACACACACACACACACACACTCACACACACACACACACACACTCACACACACACACACACACACTCACACACACACACACACACACTCACACACACACACACACACACTCACACACACACACACACACACTCACACACACACACACACACACTCACACACACACACACACACACTCACACACACACACACACACACTCACACACACACACACACACACTCACACACACACACACACACACTCACACACACACACACACACACTCACACACACACACACACACACTCACACACACACACACACACACTCACACACACACACACACACACTCACACACACACACACACACACTCACACACACACACACACACACTCACACACACACACACACACACTCACACACACACACACACACACTCACACACACACACACACACACTCACACACACACACACACACACTCACACACACACACACACACACTCACACACACACACACACACACTCACACACACACACACACACACTCACACACACACACACACACACTCACACACACACACACACACACTCACACACACACACACACACACTCACACACACACACACACACACTCACACACACACACACACACACTCACACACACACACACACACACTCACACACACACACACACACACTCACACACACACACACACACACACACAAACAAGATTCCATCACATCGATTTACATTAATTTCCTGCGGATTTGACCAAACAAACATCGACGGTACATGCATATTAAACCAAGTCTTCACTTCAGATGTTTTGGAATTGTGGAAAACGAGTCCCACAGTATACCCATGTTAATTGTAGTCAATTTGATGCTGTTGTTTACAATGTGTTCACTTAAATGTCACTCAAAGCATTCAGAACAAATGTCAAAGAAATGGGGGAAAAAAAAAGCACCTTTGTGTACAGGACATTCTAAACATTAAAATACTGTACAAGCTGTGGATCAATGGCTCTTGAACGCTTTCACGTCCCACCGAAAACATATTACTGAACGATATAGTAGCGCAGCAAGCCCGAGGGTTCATGAAAAACAAGACAGAGGTTTTATTCCTATGCATTTAACATTATTGTAAGATACTGTCACAGTATGCACAGTTTAAACATTAAAGGGGAAGTCAAACCAGAAATGTTCTTGACAATAATGAGTTCTATGCAGCCCTACTAGTCTAAACACAGCCTTCTGATTAATATTGCCTTTGTGGAATATGAGTTAAGATTGCCAAGGAGCCTGCAACTGCTATGTAAGTTTTGAAAGAAAAAAGGAGAAATGCTTGATGAAAAATGATTGAACAACAAGTAAAAATGTTTTCTCAAATGTAGTTCTTTTCAGATGGGGGAGCTCTTTTTCTCAACCCAAACGCAGTTCGAATATCATGCACATCCCTACACTACCCACAACCACTCGGTGGCATAATTGCAATTGCCTGTATTAGAGGATTGCTACATTTTGCTGTAACGGATTAACCAGCATTACGGCATTTTGGTTCGTGACAGCATTTTTTCAACAATTTCTAGTTCGCACTGATGCTTTTTTTTCTGTTTATCTCCTGTAATTTCAAACCAGAGGCCCAAATCACACAACCCAGGGACGGAGCTAAATGGTGGTCAGGTATGGCCTTGACCCTGGGCGCCCCGCTGAAAATTTTCTGGCAACGCCCCTAAAGTAACAGCATGTAAATCTATACAGCATACACACAGGCTAACAAACATCCTCAAGGTTATGGCTGTCGGCAGCTTGTCTTTAAAAACCTGGTCGTAGCTTTAATTCTGTCAAAGTCAGCAGCGCGTGGCACAAGCTCACACAAAAGCTGACAGGAGTTAAACTTGTCCTCACATTCTGTGGAGGAAACCACAATTCAGCAAAATCAAAACTCAAACACCCTTATCTCTACAAACAGGACTGCACTTTCTGGACTGAGATTATGTTTCGACGTACAGTGACAGATGATTTAAAAAAAAATCTCTGAATTGGATACAGGTACACGCTGACATTGTTTATTAATGTCTGCACTGTTCACATTGTAGCGCAATAGTAATGACAAAGGGAGTTGCCATACAAAGGGAGTGAAGTGACAAGTCAGGTAATTACAGCATGGAGGCGGGGTGTTTATTGGCGACATGCTGTCCTGTGAAGCATTTGACATGCTGCGCCTGATGGATCAACCGCAAGTGAGTGTTGCGACTGTTGTACATTGACAAAGTAAAATATGCATCTTCATTCTCTTTGCTTGGTGAGAGATGGATGCTATCCCAGTTGACTTTGGGCAAGAGGTGGGATGCACTCCGGATTGGTCGCCAGCCAATCGCAAGGCAACTATAATTAAAACATTCACACTCACATTCAAATCTATGGACAATTTTGAGTCTTTAGTTCATCTCACATAATATGTTTTGAAGGTCAGAGTATCCGGAGGAATCCCATAGAAGTTAAACCTCTCATCTGGGAGTGATCGATGCCACTGTGGTTCTGAAAAAAATATGAGTGAATTTGAGCCAGTGGGGGTGTTTAGTCCCCTGCAAAAAGCTTGCGAGAAGCACAGCGTTTTAGTTTCGTCGTGTATTGGTTTCAATGTTGGGTCACTAATTAATCCCAGCTGGTCTGCTGGTGCTACACAAACACAACAATAAGTCAGGTGTGTTCATGTCACAATTCTGGGGAGGGCGTGGCATGTACAAAGGTGGAAATAGAGGCAGCACTATACTGGAATAAATATTGCTCAACCACCACTGAACCAGAGTGTCTAAGAAACATTACTTTTGAGCAGTAACGACAATTGTTCTGGTCTGTAGAGAGCTGAAGCTACAATGATCAGTCCAGAAATACTGTCCCGCAGGGCTGCGCAAAAATGCAAAGAACCACGATAGACTTGAGTCATAGTTTCTCCAGTGCCTGTGTGGGTTTTTTCCGGGTACTCAGATTTCCTCCCACATTCCAAAAGCATGCATGGTAGGTTAATGAAACATTCTAAATTGATGTTTTGTGAGTGAGAATGGTTGTTTGTCTATGTGTGTGGCCTGTGATTGGCTGGCAACCAATTCAGGGTGTAAATTAATATATATTTTTTTTATTCATAGAAGTGATTGAAAAAAATTCCCTCTAATTTGTTGGCTATTGTATTAAAATTGATGAATAGCATAATCATGTGTGTCGATCTCTTTGTCAATGTTGAAAACTGAGTTGAGGATCTTGATTAGGGTTGGGTAGAGGGGCTGATATTCGAAGGTTAGCCACGAGGTGTATGAGTGGGTAAAGGTGGCCCTGCTGAAGTCTGTGGCCACCATAGTTGAGAGTGGGAACAAAACATATAACAGTCGATACCATGCAACGAAGGCCCTCATGATAGAAAGTGGGAACCATAATAACTGAGGCATGTATTGAATCGCTGCAATTGTATGACTTCCGAACTCTATGCATTTCATACTGGCTTTGAGAATGCTGAACCAATCTACCAAAACATAGAGTATTTTCTTTTTACATTTAAAATTCAGATCACATTTGCATCCTGGCTATAAAACAGCAAGCAGCAACAAAAAACAAGCAGCATTAACACGAGGTCGATAAAAAGTTAATGGAAAGAAACTCCCGGGGGAAGAAACAAGTTATTCACTGAAAAGTGAGAATTGAGCAGAACAGAAATTCGTTTAAAACTGATGCTATTCATGACAAATATTCCAAATGAGTTTCTTTGAAGTGATGGAAATGGTAAGCCTATGTTGGACACTCAGGCTTGCAGCAGAGAATGAAATGACTGAGGACAGGCTGACAGTCGAAACATCCTTTGTTATGCAAATGACTTAAGAGTTATGATGAAGAACGAAAATGATAATCATAAACCTCAAACATAAATCTCAATCTGTATTCCTCATTGTCTGCCTCTCGGAAGTGCTTAGCTGAATAAGGTCACCAGAGGAAGTGCAGAATAAAAAATACATAAATTAAAAAAAATGGAAAAAAAAATACACCATGCTTCACATATTATCTAGGAAGCTTTGAGACTCTGGCATTCTTTGTTATGTTGGTCCTGAATTCATTCCACTGGCTATTAGTGTCTCATTTTACTGGATATACTCTGTTCCTTCAAGATTGGTTGTCTGAGAATATGCTAAGAACATTATTGGGCAGCAAAATAGGTTAAATGATGGTAACAGCAACAAAGAGAGGTACAGTCAACACATTTTGTTTAATTTGCTCATGCTCAGGTGGAAATTTAATGCCAAAAAACAAACAAAAAAACAGATTGTGCTATACTTGGACATTTAAATCAGCTGAACATAGTTACTTTGTCACCTCTGGGAGCAGACGTATTTTTGGCATGGAAGCCCATCTTGTGATACTTCACTCAAATGTTGTCTCTATATTTAGAATGCTGTCAATTTGTTCACATACTCACATCCAAGACTTGGCCAAATAATGAAAGAGGGAAACAAAAAAGCAAATTTCGAGATTACAATCTTCTGCTGTGTTTGTTTTATCATAGGGACGAAGGTTGGGCTGAAGGGGAGTCCACGGGAGACCAGGTAATGTTTTGCCATGGTGACAAAGCAATACACTGCTCCGTTTCGTTCTGCCTTTGCTCTCTCCCCTTTTTTTACTCGCTCACACAGCCCCCTCTCCTCTAGTCAGGCATTGATTCTCTAGGCGTCCCTGCAGGCAAGGCGAGGGGTCAGGGTTGGCTCCATCTGTCTATGTGATGGGCACTGGTGCCAAGTGCCACAGGGAGAAAAAGCTTGTGTGGCATGGAAGGGCGATGGATGTTTTACGCTCCTGACTGAGTACACTGCTGAAACTTCAGTGTCCTTCTTGGGGGTTTTCAATATGACTGGCAAAGACTAGATACTGTAAATACAAAATCCCTCTCTCTCTCTCTC